TTTTTACACTGGCAACCAATCATATCTTTTAATAGTGTCATGTCAGTTGCTTATTTTGATTAAATAACCAACTTTTTTTTTTTGCTCGTCCCTGGAGTATCCACCGCCGATAGCAGTGACTAATCTCCTTGCTACGTTGGAGGCACTTCAAAGGGTAGGATAGCTAGCCCCAAGATTTAACGCGGCTGCATACACAAGACAAGATTTACGTTGAAGGACTTTAATTAATTGCTTTATCAAAACAAAAAGAAATTAAAAATAAAGAAATTTTAATGGAAGCAATTGAAATTCCTAAAATTTAAAACTCCCTGAAATTCTAAAATTTTTCAACTAAAGACAACCTAAAATCCTAAAGTATAAGAATTTTCACCTAGGTCAAATAAGAAACCAGCTAAATTTGGAACAATAGGCTCATTCATAGGGTGTTGTTGAATATAGACACTAGATGGATTCAAGTTTTTCCCCATGTTTCCCAAGATGTTTTAACAACACAAAGAAAAATCCTTATTCTAATTCATAAAAACTAAAAAGTGATCGCTTGCTTCCAATGAATGAGTTATTATTAAGATTGAAGGGCCAATGGTAACCAACATAAACCTTTCCATGCCTTAGTTATGAAGGATGTTGTAAGGAATGATTTTAGAGAGCAGTAGAAACCTAAACAGGTTTATTATAGAAAGAAAAAGGGAAAGGGGCATATTGTAAATGTACCTGTCTGAAGGGCACACTAGTAAACTTGTTGTACTCTAAAGGCCGAATGAGAGCTCCAAACGAATATTCCGGTGAGAGGGAGGATACCTGCAAAAGGCACTCCGACGTTCAAGTTAGGACAAGCACAAATTTTGATAGCAATTAATGAATAGTGACGTTACCTCGTAATAAGAGCTATTTATACTGACATTAATGGGCCCTGATTTCCCTAGGCCCTGTAATAGGATTACTGTATTAGGTAATACGTCCCTAATCGGCTTATTGATGTGATTAACCCTTAATTTCTTATTAGGGGTAATTCTTGAGTCCATGGTGTACTACACTTGGGACTTCGGCTACTCGGTAGCCAATCGGGTGTCGGCTACTAGGTTCGGCTGTTCGGTGGCCGATCAGGTGTCAGCCATCCGGTGACCGAGTGTTCTTACCCGTACACTTGCCCCCCAGCCTTAGAGAAGGGTAAGCCCTCTTCAAGGGTATAGTGATGAAGTTGATTTTTATGGGTAAGTCGAAAGGTTGGCGCAATCTAAGTCGTTGGATCTTGAAAATCGGATGGTTATGCTTTTCAAATTTTTAAATTTTCCCGCCTTTTTTCTGGGCTATATATAGCCATGAGTAGTAGGGCCTCCCACGCGTATCGCTTTCAGCCGAGGTGTATTATCCAAACGATCGTGAGACGAATCGAGTGTGTCGAGTGATTACATTTGTGCTTCAAAAACCTTCGTAAGTGTTTAATATCATGGCTGACACTCCCGAAAGCTCTTCGGCCAGTAGCTCTCAATCATCGTCATCCGAGGGGTCGTCGTCCAATGATTCTAGTCGTCCAAGCATTGAATTTTTGTCCCCAGTCCATGCTGAAAGACCTGATGGTAGTGCAACCTCTTCAGGGGAAACCTCCACTAGCGGAAGTCCTGAGGTCCGGCCAAAATCAAGGCGTGTTTCTAATCGGCAACGATATGGGCTGTCCGAGGTGCTTGACTACGAATGGGTGAATGGGGAGGTGATGTCATATTACTCTCTCTACCGAGACACGAAAATTATTAGAAACCTTCTGGAGTATATCAATTTTCTGACTTTCAACGCTAAAGAGGAGCCATATCCCATCGGCGTTCGGTCTTGTCAAAACAATGCTTTCCTGAACCCCGACATGGTCTGTCTAGACCAACATTCCTCTAAGATGGAGTCATTCTATATATATGATTGTCTTCTTCGAGATCTCAAGGTAAAGCTGCCGTTTGACGAGTTTACGATGGGTGTGTTGAGAGTTTTGAACGTTGCGCCGACTCAACTACATCCGAACAGCTGGGCTCAACTACAAGGCTTCAAGAATTTATGCCGATGCCTTTGCATTAGGCCCTCGCCACTTCTTTTTCTCTATTTCTACTCGTCTAGGCCATCCACGTTGGCGAAGTGGTTTTCTTTAAGCTGAGTGGGGGATCGATAACTATTGGATAGTTTTACCTCTTCTTACAAGAACTTCAAGGCCAGATTTTTCTGAGTGACAATTCGCCTGAACGGACGACGGTTCTTCTTTGGTGAGGACGATAGGAGATTATTTCCATTGTATTGGACACGCGCCCCTTGGCCTTAAGATGTTGTGCCGAAGAAGATGCTTTCGGCCGAAGAGCGGGAAGATTTAAAATTACTGCTTCGTCTTCCTCGGCGTTTGCCGACCAGATCTCTAATTAACTTGGTTAAATCTCCTCAGTGGGAGAACGACTTGATAGGTATGTTATCTGTCCTATTTTGACCGTGCGCTAAATTCATATTGATGTTCACTTGTTCGTCTTTGCAGGAATCATGGTGTCTAGTGGTGCCGACGAGTTTAACATCCAAAATTTGTTGGCTAATCGAGTGAAGCAATCCAAGCAGTCCAGAGTTGTTGGCAGCTCGGTCGTTGCTCGCACTCCCTGACCAGTCCAAGACGACCGAATTCCCCCCTCCCTGGAACGCAAGCACCGAAGGGGGAAGAAGGGAAAGGAGGCCGATCGAGAGGGCCAAAAAAGAAAGGACGACGAAGAACGCCCGAAAAAAGCGAAGAAGTTGAAGCAACCTGCCGAGCCATCGTCGACACGGAGCATCATTGTGGTGCCCCCCACTCTGATGTCTCGTGCATTTCTGAGTGACGATGTGTCTGCTGATACATTGATTCGATCGGATGCGGTGTCGGACCATGGGCGGGAATTCTTGGACCGGTTGGATATCGTGTCCAAATGAAAGTACTTCTGCGAGGTGCAAGTGCGCTCCCTGGCACTCACCCATCATCTGGCGATGGAGCCGATCGAAGAGTTGATGCGCCTGAAGCAAAGGGTTGAAGCGGCCGACAAGGCTACCGTCGAAGCCCTTTTGACTACTCAAGACGTCACGGCCAAGAATCGGGAACTCGTTGCCGAACTAGACATACTTAGGCGCGAGAATGACACTCTTCGGTTGGATCTTCAAAAGGCATCTAACGAAGAGCGTCGTCAAATGGAAGGGCTCGGCTAAAGGAGCAAGCGAAAGAGCGCATTGTCGCTCAACATGAAGCCAGGTTCCGACATGCCATTCGGCAAGCTAAGTACTTCGGCTGGTTCTGGGAAGACTCCGAATTTGACATGACCCATGATTTTTATCAAGGGTCCTTCATGTCGTTCAAAGAGATGCCCGAAGGGGCGAACCCCGATAGCAATGAGCTGAGCGTTGCCCCCCAGCTGGAGGAAGATACTCAGGTTGCATCCGATGACGAGGTCGAAGACGAGTAAGAGGAACAAATTCCCGAGCAGGAGGTGAATGATGACACCGAGGTTCGCGAGGACCCTGTTGGGAATCCTGAGGATTAGGTTGCCGTTTGAAGGCATTTAGGGTAGGTTTAAATAGTTTGTTTTTGAATGGTTGCCAATAGGGCTTTTGTAATACGGGCCGATAGAGCCGTTCTTTTGGGTAATAAAATGTGATTTTTTCCAGTCAGACAATGTTTGTTAATTTAATTTTCCCTTTTTGATTGAATGATGTAACCTTCTCTTCATTGTACGAATTCCGATGACATGTTTTTGGCCGAGTGGGATCACTCTGTAGCGCGTCCTTTTTAGTATGAACTGAGAGCAAAGTCATTCAGCAAAGGCAACTTTGCCGAGTTTGTTCGATCAGCGAAGGGTCCTTCTGAGTAAGAACCGAATGGGGTCATTCGGCAAGGTCTTCTTTTTGAGTAAAATTTGAATGATGTCATTTGGCAAGGTCTCCTTTTTGAGTAAAAACCAAATGAGGTCATTCGGCAAGGTCTCCTTTTTGAGTAAAAACTGAATGAGGTCATTCGGCAAGGTCTCCTTTTTGAGTAAAAACTGAATGAGGTCATTCGGCAAGGTCTCCTTTTTGAGTAAAAACTGAATGAGGTCATTCGGCAAGGTCTCCTTTTTGAGTAAAAACCGAATGAGGCCATTCGGCAAGGTCTCCTTTTTGAGTAAAAAATGAATGAGTTCATTCGGCAAGGAGATTTATTATGCGAATTCCGAAGGTAACTGGCCGAGATAGGTCATTCGGCCAGGGACCCTTATGAGTGAAAACCTAACAGGGGTCCTTGGCCGAGTGGGGTCACTCGGGAGGGAAGCCTTTTTTGCCAAAAATCTGAAGGCACGTCCTTGGCCGAGTGGGGTCACTCGGGAGGGAAGTCTTTTTGCGAAAAATCAGAAGGCACGTCCTTGGCCGAGTGGGGTTATTTGGGAGGGAAGCCTTTTTTCAAAAAATTTGAAGGCATATCCTTGGCCGAGTGGGGTCACTCGGGAGGGAAGCCTTTTTTCGAAAAAATTGAAGGCACATCCTTGGCCAAGTGGGGTCACTCGGGAGGGAAGCCTTTTTGCGAAAAATTCGAAGGCACATCCTTGGCTGAGTGGGGTCACTTAGGAGGGAAGCCTTTGTTGGATGTATTATGCGACTGATAAATAATGAAGAACAAGATAGTAGAGGAGAATTGACTTGATTTTTATTGAATGGTGCCTCGTTAAAAACCTTGTCGGCCAAAACCCCTTTTCACATTTTTATAAGGGGAAAAAAAACCGATCAAGGAAAAGAGTGCACTTCTGTATATACATCAGTAATTACAAGAAAAACTTCTAACTAAAATAAGCCTTTAAGTGAGTTGAGTTCCAAGTTCTCGGAATGACCTTTCCCGAGAGTGTTGGTCCCTACGGTTAGAATCTAGAAGGGGGGGTTTCAAAAAGTTAAAGGATTATTTCGTTCCTGAAAGCTATTTGTTTAATCATTGGATGAAAGTATACTCTGGATCGGAATTGGGGGGAGTACTGCCTTATTTTTTCTACCAATTTAAAGCCCCTATTAGTATTCTTTTTATATTATACATAAAACATAAATGTTCTTTTGGAGATTTTTAAAAATATACGTTACTAATCCTTTGTGTATCTTGGTGTTTCTAACCATCCATTCATTTTTTTTATTAATTCCTTATTGTTAATATATGTATGATAATTCATACAAATGATATTGAAGATCAAATAATATTGAAAAAAAAAAAGTTTGGTCTTTTGCGCCCGCTTCAAGACAGGATGACTAATCAACCAACCTTGGGAGAAACAACCATTTCTACTTATAATTTTTATTAAATTCAGTTTTTTTCACTTAATTCTTATACATAGAAAATGAGACTCAATAATTTTACTGCAATTTATTTTAAATCATCATACTTTCTATTAACTAGAATTCTTTTAATATTCTAAAAATTATATTCAATAGAAGCTGTTTTATTGCACTCATATAACTATCTGATTAAATTCTTCAATCCCAATTGCGAAACGAAAAATAATAAATGGAATATATTCCATTTATTATCTTCCTTTACTACAAAGTATTATAAAGAGAGGAGTATAGCAAATAGTATCCAAATTTTCTGTCTCAACGAATCGCACGTAGAGATATCGATAACACACATAGAGTTAATGGTATTTCATAACTAATCGATTGAGCAGCCGCTCGTAGACCACCTAAAAAGGAATATTTATTATTTGACCCATATCCTGACATAAGAAGTCCAATGGGAGCAATGCTCGAAATAGCAATCCATAAAAAAACACCAATACTCAGATCAGATAAAACAAAGTTATAGCCAAAAGGAATTACTGAATAGCTTATTATAATGGATATGACTGATATGGATGGTCCTATACTGAATAAACGAATATCTCCTCTAGATGGAATAAGATTCTCTTTGAAAAGTAATTTTGTTCCGTCTGCTAAAGCTTGAAGAACCCCAAAAGGACCTGTGTATTCAGGTCCAATACGCTGTTGTATCCCTGCGGATATTTCTCTTTCTAACCATACAATAGCTAGTACACTTATTGTAATTCCCAATACAAGAATAAAAATAGGGGCAAATACCCATATAATTCTATATACCTCTTTAAAAGATTCCAATCTGAAAAAAAAATGGATATCTTGTATTTCTCTTATATCAATTATCATTTCAACGATCAACTTCTCCCATAATAATATCTATACTACCTAGTATTGTCATAATATCGGCCAATTTCATTCTTTTAACTAATTGAGGAAGAATTTGCAAATTGATAAACCCCGGTGGACGAATTTTCCATCTCCAAGGAAAACCATTTTGATCTCCTATTAGAAAAATTCCTAATTCTCCCTTTGGGGCCTCAATTCTTACATAAAGTTCTTGTTTTGGTAATTCAAAAGTCGGAGACGGTTTTTTACTAATAAATCGATACTCAAAATCATTCCATTCTGGCTCTTTTTCTCTATCAAAGCTGCGGATTTCTAAATTTTCATACGGCCCGCCGGGAATTCCTTCCAAAGCCTGTTGAATAATTTTTATGGATTCTATCATTTCACCAATTCGAACCAAATAACGAGCTAATGAATCTCCTTCTTTTTGCCATTGAACTTCCCAAGCAAATTCTTCGTAACATTCATAATTATCAACTTTACGCAGATCCCATTGTATTCCAGAAGCTCGAAGCATCGGTCCCGACAAACCCCAATTTATTACTTCCTTTCCATCAATAACACCTATCCCCTCAACCCGTTCTAAAAAAATAGGATTTCGTGTAATAAGTTTTTGATATTCAACAATCCTTGTTAAAAAATAATCGCAGAAATCATAACATTTATCCACCCAACCATAAGGTAGATCAGTCGCTACCCCCCCGATACGAAAAAAATTATGCATCATTCTCATACCCGTCGCAGCTTCGAATAGATCATATATTAATTCTCTTTCTCTGAAAATATAGAAGAAAGGGGTTTGTGCACCAATATCTGCCATAAAAGGTCCTAGCCAGAGTAGGTGAGAAGCTATACGACTCAACTCCAACATAATTACTCGGATATAGCTAGCTCTTTTAGGTACTTGAATATTTCCCAACTGTTCTGGTCCGTTTACAGTTATTGCTTCTGTGAACATAGTAGCTAAATAATCCCAACGTGTTACATAAGGCAGATATTGTATAATTGTTCGATTTTCCGCTATTTTTTCCATTCCTCTGTGTAAGTAACCCAATATTGGTTCACAAGCAATAACATCCTCACCATCTAGAGTAACAATAAGTCTAAGAACACCATGCATTGATGGGTGATGAGGGCCCATATTTACTATCATGAAGTCCTTTCTTGTAGTTGAGATATTCATAGGTTTTTCCTCGATTTATTCTTCTATGAATCGCTTAAAAAAAGTTCATCAAAATTCAAGATCTAATAAATCGAATAATTAAGAATTACTCTTCAATTTAACGAATTCGTGACTCCCGAATATCAAATTGATTTATTAATTTTTTATAACGTATTCCATCTTTCTTTGACAAATAAGACAATAATCGTTTCCGTTTTCCCAGAATTTTACGTAAACCCCTTTGAGACAAATAGTCTTTTCGATGCAATTCAAAATGTGAAGTAAGTCTTCGTATTCTATTGGTAAAATGGAATACTTGAAATTCAACCGATCCCGGGTTTTCTTCTTTTTTTTCTTGTGAAATAACAGGTATAAATGAATTTTTTACCATAAAAAAATGAAAGTTTTTACCCCCTCCTCGCTTTATATATATATATTTATTGATCAGTAATAATAATGGATACTCATTTTTTCATTTTTTTTATATAAATCTGAATTTAGAATTTTTTATTTTTTTATTTTTTTACAATCGAATTAATTCTTATAAATTTTAAAAATCCAATATTAATTAATAGATATAAAAGAAACTTTTTTTATGGATTCACCACAAAAAATTGGATACTTCTAAAAAAAAAAAAAAAAAA